TTTAAAATGGTAGGTTTGACATGTTGTCTTAATGTCTAGATTCTGACCTCATTTTAATGTCTGCCTAAATAATCTATAAAATTGTAAATGTCGCTTAAACGAAATGTGCTTAAGTTCGTCTGTTTTCTCCATTCTGCCAATGTCGTTTTGATCTGTTTATCTGCCAACCTCAATTTATCGCCGCTGTGTTGATAATCTATTTTTATCATGTGCTAATTTAGCGGTATATCCGGATGGTGTTTTCGACCTATTTTGTTGGTTATCTCATTTCATGTGGTTGGCTGTTGCTTGACATAACCGATGTGGTTGCGCGTGATGTGTATGTTGACAAAATGTCTACCTGTCTATTACCGACTACCTCATCCATACTGGCTCTAGGAGATGGTTGGCTGTTGCTGGAGTCACGGGGTGCACGGTCCTTGTGGCCGTGCTAGGCTCGAAGATCGGTTCCATGCACTGTGTGGAGCGGACTACGGTCCAGCCACCGCCTTATGTGCGCTTGATTCTCCAGATACAGTGTGTTTGTGTTTACCTGTGAAGGAGTGTGGGCCGGCTCCGTTGATGAATCGTGGCTCCCATCCGCATGTGTCTTGCTCTTATTCCCTCGGGTTTACACTGGATTTGGAGTATATGGATGGAGCTGTGGGTGGTGCAGCGCAAGCCACGCATGGTCCCCCGTAAGCGCAGGCGTCCTGTAGAGGACACAGTGACATGCAAATCCGAATGCCGTCGCTTAATGGTTGGACGAAACGGCTCCGTTGTTCATCCACGTAGCGTGCCACTAAGCAATGCAGGGTGATTATAGTCAGTTACCGACTCCTTAAACAGTTGCAATCGCGACATTTGTGACTGTTAGTTACACATGCTAGATTCAGAGTAGTTCGCGCCGGTGGCAAGTAGCGAGATGCTATTATTTAGCTGCCCCCATTGCCTTAGGTACAAAATCCAACGAAAGCCATGTACGACTGGCGATTTTGCAACATTGTCCACCAGGTTGCGAAAGCTAGAAATGCCAAAGACATAGTGGGTGGGTAATTAGTGAAAATTTCAGCCAAACTTGCAAAGAAACAAATGTGGCCTCTAGCAGCACAGTAGACTTGGCCAACTTTAAAGTGTTTTTCAGGAACCTTCAGATAGTGGTACTGGTCCAGCACCTGCCAAAAGTAGGCGAAAGTCACAACCGCTTCGCTTAATGTAATACCGCGGAGGCCAGGATGCATAGGACAGAAGCTCCGCGCTTCGTCGAGTTCGAGTCGATCTCATCATGACCTACCGTATATTATATCTCGGTGACTTTCCCATGTTGAAGCCGCTACTTCACTTGCGAACGTCATGCAGCACAATCGCACATGGGTACAAGCTTGTGGTGTCGATTACCCCACCATATGTGCTTCGAACGGAGAGGGTAAATGTTTAGTACAGTCTGTCAGAACAAGTGGTGGAGGTTGAATCGGTGCGCAACAGTTCAAAACGTTGTTGGATTTACACATTTCATAACCATTCGATTTAGAGAACGATTGCACACAAGCAGCACCTTACATTTGTGAGACCAGATATTTTAAAATGTTAGAGAAGAACTTGAGGAAAGCCTGGATTGTCACAGGTGACAGACACTACTTATAACATTTTCGATTTGATTACATTGGAGTTGTACAGAGTTCAGTCTCTACTTACTCTCACAATACAGCAGTCAGCAACCTTGGCTACAAGTTTCAACGTCTCAGGCGATGTATTGTACGACTACAGTTCTCGGAACCTACAAGCGTGCACACAGCTGATCGTGTGGCGGATTTGGTGGTACTCCTCATAGCGACAACGTAGCTACTGACTGCAGCCCCTTAGTTGGAAGTGAATGAGAGTCCTGACGCTGCATAGTGGCTGAGCTCCAACTGCTTAACATTTGTAGTTCTGAAAAGCTGCTACGTTGATTCCTCGGGGTAGCCGAGAAAACACATTGGACCTCGCAACGTTCAGATCGATAAGCACAATTTACGATCTCGTCCACTGTGAATGGTTCTTTCCGCCTTCGCGTTCAAACGCAAGTGTTCTGGTGTCATTGTCAAGAGCGACATTCTTCTGATTGACAGACTGAAGCTAAATAAAGTTAGGGATTACCTTCAAGTGTGTCGTTACGCAGGAGACCAGGGCTTATGGTAGGCGGGTTTCAGAGTGGTGAAACGGTGCTCCAATTCAATCCTACCAGAAAACATTCTGGTGGAGTCCGATCCCGAGCTCCCCATACTGATATCCCACAAGAAGTGCTCAGTAACGTGTATCAAATGCGAAACAAGTGGTACGAGGTAGACGAGATTGTGGGCCATTGTCGGTCGGACGTCCTTGCATACATCGAAACATAGTTGTTATCAGACGTGATGGAGAGCCAAATAGGCTTAACAGATTAAACATTACTGAAGTTTTGGGTGTGTTTCTTCCAAGACCATAGAGAAGCTAACCGTATGGTGAGCGGATAATTTGAGATGAAAAATAAGGCCACACAACCTAGCTTTGAAGCATTTCATCACATAATGGTGTACGGACCGTGTGGGATTATTTCAGAGGCTACCTTTCCGATGTGTCTTCCCCTCATGTCCAATATATGTGAGGAACATAAAAAGGCGAAAACGCCATAATTTTACTTAACTGCATCCCGATCAGCGGACCAATATCTAACGGACTTATATGTTAGTTCCGTCAGATGGTTACTCTCGGTGCTATCCAGGAGTGTGAAATGTCCGCAAGTAGCAACATCTCGCTGTGCCCCTACGTCAGGAAACGGAGCCGAACGGAAAAAGACATTAGCAATACGTAGAGATGTCGCACTAACGATGCGCTGCAAAGCGAAAACCATTAGTTGTGCGCGAACTATGGATTCCGCGAGTTTCGAAAGGGGGTTCAGAGGGTTACAAAGTAGACGACTCATCCCTTTGGCCACCGGCCGACAACTGCAATCCAGTCAACATAAAGCGACTGTTTGGTCCCAACAAGTGGCGAAGCAATCTAAACACATTCCTGCCAGTGTTGCTTGGTGATGACGACAATGTCATCAACACCGGTCAAGCAAATACGTCAACTTGCGGAACAGTAGGCGGTAGCACTCGCTATGGAATCTCGCTTGTCGAATACCAACGTACAGATGCGTGGTCGTTTGAAGGCAGATAACTCAATTACAAGTACTCAGATACTATTACCAAAGCGGCATGAGAAGACGCAATACACCCCAAGCTCCTGCGAGAATAAACATTTGAGCTACGCCAGTCGGTTCTTCGAGAAGCTTCTTCCCAGCTGTCCTTTCCAGCCAATCATCCGCTCGGCTATTCAGAAGGATTGCAAGCGTCAATCCGAGAACTACTGACTGGTTAATCGGCTGCTCAAACTATTGCAGTAGCTATTAAGAGATAATCTGGAAAGTAATATGACGTTTGGTGAACTGTAGTCACATGCCATCGCCGGAAAAGTCCTGCGTTGGATAATGGTATTGTTAGACAGAACAAGAATGTATGTTTGACTGAGTTCCAGGAAAACCTTTAGACAGTCAGTTCAGAATGGTGTTCCACAGGGGTCCATTCGCTATCCAATATTATTCGCTTCTTATACAAGTGTGTTGTGACGCGTCACAAGAAAGTGACCGGTTGGAAAATCTTGGAGAGCCGTTTAAAGACTGTACCACAACCTATAGTACTGGGAAACGATCAGTGTCTCGATTAGATCGCAAATTTTGCAGTGTGCACTTGACAAGCTATGGGATTGGCTAGCGACGTGATGTCTTGCCGTAAATGTCTCCAGGTGCTCGGTTTGGCATATCAGGACAAATATTCCACCGACGTGCCAATTTTCAGACAGAAACGATTTGCCTCCAGTACCCAGTACGTTAATAAATCAATCATCAACAACAGCAGTACATCAGCCATTTGAACTGATGCTTTGCTGACATACAATCATGATGACCTAAGGAACAAAGAATAAGAGGAAGAGAAGGGGGACTTACTGGAAAACCTTAATGTTCTAAGCAATCATGCAGGGTCAAGGCGTCTACACCTTGTGTTAACAACATACCGTCACAAACAGCTGGCTATCGTGCAAAGGCGACATCAGTGAGACAGCTTCCTTGCGGCTTTCACCGTCCCGCGTCATAATCAGCCATTACCCCGCAGATAATTCAGCACCAAACACTCCTTAAACAGGCAGTCTGACTACGAGACGGCAGCAGACGAGCCACTAGTAAAGACAGCGAGTCACTTCCTCTAAAGTCTCAGGTAAAGCACAAGGCGGGTCACGGGGACTCTGGCCCGGAAGGCGTCCCAGTTTGGTCGTCAGTGACTTCATTTCACGCTGCCAGGTCAACTTCCGTCCACTTCGAGCCTTGCGCCGCCCTACATCTGGCAGACTAAACAACGCTCTTCTAGGAGAGCGGTGATCAGGCATACGTGGTACGTGCACAAGCCAACGTAACTTATTCAGTGATATCTGTTGTTCTATGGGACTAGCGTGGTTATCATTGCTTAGTACGTTAAATTGGCTGTCACGATCCCATCGAACTTCATGTTCAGTGAAAACTGGTAAAGATTTGACCCGAATTATTTACAGTTCATTCGGAAGCGTACGAGTGAAACATCGACCAAACGGTATTAAGATTTCAATAGTTTTCACTTGAAATGCTGTGCAACAACTTAGTCCTTGGTTAGTCCGGGAAAAGATGACAGTGAGGTGGGTCTTGAGAAGTGTGAGTTTAGACGTAGGTACTATGTCGACAAATAGCATGTGATGGGTATTTTGTCACCACACTATAAGCATCGTTGTGGTAATCTGAATCTTACCTATCACATAGTGACGAGTCAAACCGATCCGGATTTACCTTGATTTCCCTGTACAACCTGAGCGTCAACACCTCGTGATGAGCTATGGAAGCCGAGCAAGCCTACATGCGATCGGGCGAAGACTGACATTCGGTTACCGCGCAAAAACTAAACGTATCGGTGGCAATCTACCGTGAAGAATACCGATGGGGATCAAAATATGCCTTTAATACTCGGCAAAAGAAGAAAACACGGAAGTAATTGCAACAAGTAAGCTGGCTAGGAGAAAGACGAATACTTGGGCGCAAGGAAACAGGCAGAGGTAGTGCACATTTGTGCGTAGTCTACAGGGAGTCAGAAAAAGCTCGCTAAGAATTCCTGGAAGACGCATTGAGCACGAGCGCCGCGGACGATCATCGTGCGTATGTGAGGGAGTGCCTGATCGATACTCTGACTACTTTTCGGTGGACAGAGCTAGAAGGTCATACGCGGCCTCCATGGCGCAACCAACGCTCCATGCTTGTGCTGCAGAACTGTCCGGGCAATACTGTGAAAGAAGAGAGAAAAATGTACGCGTTATATGGAGAGAATCAGGAAGGGATGCTATTTTAATGGGTAATGGTTGGGTACCAAAAGAGTACTTCGAAAGATGACATTGGGAATTAGCTATCCTCTGTTGGGCTGGTTCAAATGACATCTGTGCGACTGAACACAAATGGCATTGATTGATCAGTATTGTTCTACTTCCAGAAGTGTCACGAACGGTGTTGTTCAGGACAGCGTATTGAGCCTATTGCTTTTCCTTATTTTTACATAAACGATATATGAGATTACATTAGACAAGGGTGCCCGTTTTTAGTTGCAGATGACATCAAACTAGTGCACGTATTTCTACGTGAGCATATGGAACTGTGCCCAAAAAATGTACGCTAAACAAATGATGCGAAGCAAGTCAATGAGAATGAGGGCAGATAAATCTTGGATACTCTACCACGGATGCAGTATACCAGTAGGATCAACACTCGTACTGGTACCCCCTGCGTATTTTGTTCGAGACATGGGAACTCGATAATCCAGCAGCTTCAAGTTCTCCGAACACATCCTGCATCAGGTAACGAAAGGGAGACAACTAAGAAGCTATATCACTAGGTCGTTTTCACTATCTCAAACCGGACCCGAATCATACAGACTCATTGTGTGACCCACTCTAGAGTATTGTACCATAGCTATTTATGTAAAACAGATAGAATTGCTTTGGAAAACGTCCAGTGCTCATTTACCAAAATGCTTATGGGGCGTTCATCAACGATATTCTCACCCCAAAATCCCCTCACTCTGGTATCGACGGGCGAGTCATCTCAAACAATACAGATGTCGCGTGACACAATGGTCCAACCTGTCCCACTGGTAAGGGAAAATGTCCACTATTCCTACAGAGGACTAAGCAAAATATCCGTGGAAATAAATTACCGTTGCAATTAGTGTGAGCCAAACTATTTTTTTAAAATATCATTTACAAACTGTTTTGGGGAATGTGGTCAAACTTTTCGACTTTCAACAATCCACATACGCAATAAAACATTACAGCCCTGTTCCACAGTGAATGTAGTGGTTCATAAATAAAATAATGACGAAACTCACAGTCCAAATGATCGTTTCACAAAAAGGGAACGTATCCCACTTGTCGGGAAATACGCCAATTTATTTATAAGTACGTGAAACCAAGTTCAAGAAATAGCCCGTGACGGTGATAGCATAGGCGTCAGCGCACATGCGCCACAGTAATGAAGAATGTTCACGGGAGGAACGGTCTTTGAAGGAAAGCACAACACAAGTTGTGAAAACGCAAGGGGAACAGGTTGTTAGTCAATTCAAATCTGTCGGAATGCGGAACTTTCAACAGTGCACATTAGCAAGCGTGGTTTATTAATAAGGGCGTGTAGCGAAGAGTTATGCCACCGTATGTGTAGCATTATTGGATTTCATCTTGTCGTTTCAAGTGATTGGCTGTTGTTTGGTATCCCCGGTGTGGCTGTGCCTGATGTGCATGTTAACAAGGTGCCTACCTGTCTATTACCCACTACCTCGTTCATACTGGCTCCAGGAGACAGTTGGTCGTTGCTGAAGGCGACGGGGTGCGCGGTCCTTGTGGCCGTGCTAGGCTCAAAGAGTGGTTCCATGCAGTCAGTGTGGAGCGCACTACGGTCCAGCCACCGCCTTGTGTGCGCTTGCTTCCCAAAATACAGCGTGCTTGTGTTTGCCTATGAAGGAGTGTGGGCCGGCTCCGTCGATGAAACGTGGCTCCCACCCACATGCATCCCGGTCTTATTCCTTCGGGTTTACACTGGATATGGGGTGTGTGGTTGGAGCTATGGGTGGTGCAGCGCAAGCCACCCATGGTCCCTCTGTAGGCGCAGGCGTCCTGTGGCTTGCCACAATGATAGGCAAATCCGAAACCGGATGCCGCCAACCATGTAGCGTGCAAAGCTGTGACATGTGACATGAGTATCACAGTCCTTAGCAGCATTCTGAAATAGGATGATTTGTTGTAAGCATTAGAGTTGACCAAAACAACCGCGGCTACTAAGTAAATTTTTTCAAAAGGCACATACACACCCGCACCGTAGTTGACAACAAAAACGCCAACACTGAATCAGGCGAACACATACAGAGAAGTCGAAAATTGCGTGATTCAGGTTCTATCGTGCACAAAAAATTAAACTGTCAAAGATCGGTGTGGTCGATCGTATGAACGGGTCACAGTTGAGAGGTTGTGCTGCTCCAATAATGCGACAACGGAGCAAACTGATGGCACCTAACGGGAAAAAGTTATGAAATAGATCTGACATGGCGAGAACACGGCGGGTTGTTGTTGTTGTTGTTACTAGTGTTGCGTAGCCCCCTGGGGGCGCGAAAAGTCAACCTAGGCATCGATCAAGTGTATTTGCATCACCAATAAGCAGACTATTTAGGGGGTATCACAGATGATGAATTCGACAACGCATTGGGTCTCGCGGCGTTGTACGGTGGAACACATTTCATAAGACTGTCAAAAATTGGTTCCGGGATTTCGCGCTGGCAACACGACACGTCCGAACAGTTGCTGTGTCATCAGGCAATGAGCGTTCCACGGTTGCCGGTTAGAAACATGGAACATCTGCCAGGCAAACGGGAGCTGCACCACTTAACTGGGAGTTTAGTAGCTTACCCACACCCCACCCCTCCAGTTTGAGTTCCTTGGATGTTTACAGTCCGTACGCTCTTCTGCTGTGTGTCCTCTTTCAGACATTTCCCCGGCAAGTCTACTTTCCTGTTGAGCATGTTGCTGGCACGACGTCACACTTCTTGGCGGATGTTGTCTCGCTTGAATTCCGTTCCTCTGACGCAAACTGTTTCCCACTTTAATTATTTTCCTGTCCATGTTTCCACAACTCTTTACTATTGTATTTCGGCTCCAGGCGTCAATTGTATCCATAAACCTTCGGTAACTCGGAGAGGGAGTAACTCTTTAGATCCGTAATCATAATACCGCTTCTGCCTGAGCATACTCTTTACAAACGATCATGAACTATCGCCGGGGATTGTGCTTCCGGTTTGGACAGGATTTGGGCATCGGGCAACTAAGTTATCGTTCTGCGGCTACATAAACGTTGAACAGAGATCACTCCGAAGTTGGACTTGGAGAATCCGCTGTGTGGTTGGGTTGCTAAAAACAACCTCTATTGAGAGCTCACGCCGATTTCCGTAGATAAAGTGTTCCATTGTTCCAGAAACATGAGGTAAGGCTTATCATTTAGCACTTAAGCTTTGGTCCATATTCTCTTCGCATCATTCCCGGCTGTATCGCTTTTCTGTTCGATTGCATGTGGCAACGGATACTCAAGCGATAATCGAATTCTCACTTTCACTGAAAGCTCGGAACTCCTCGGCAGTAAACTGCGGTCCGTTGTCCTATACTAATAGCCCGGTAATAAAGTTATTGCGGTTCTAATCCTATGCTTTGAATGCACATGCCTTGGAACAACCGTCATATTTTTATTTGTAAGAAAAATCGTTTGAGTTGACATACTTTTACCAAAGGAAATAAAGTTTATTTATCTAGTATGAATAATATTCCACAGTTCTGATGGCGGTGAAACTGTCGAAGGCGATTTCAGCATCTCCTTGGGTTTCAAAATTTTTTCTCTGGGAAGAAGTTATCCAGATGCTTGAAAAATTGATAATCTGTAGGCGAGAAATCAGGGTAGTACAGTGTGTGAAACAAAGTTTTACAGCCCAGATCACGCAGCTTCTGCAGGGCTGATTGTGCGACGTGCGGCCGAGCAATATAATGGCCCCCTTTCTGCTGACCAGTGCCGGGCACTTGTGTTGAAGCGTCCAATGCATTTTGACAATTTGTCGACCGCTGTAATGGTTTCCGCTGGATTTAGAAAGCTTTGATGAATCATAGTATCCGCAGACTACCAGTTAACATAAACTTTCTGGGTGCAAATTCGGCTTTGGGAAGTGTTGTGGAGCGTGATCGTTATGCAACCATTGAAGGGTTCATCGTCGATTGTCGTAAATGATCCCCTTTACATCGCAAGTTCCAATCCGGTCGAGAAACGGGTCGTTTTTATTGCGCAGAAGAACAGACGGCACCGCAAAACGACGATTTTTTTTATTTTCATTCAATCCATGCGGAACACACTTATCAAGCTTCTTCGACGTTCTAATCTTCCGTAAATGTTTTAAAACTGTCACATGCGATACTGCTAAGTTAGAAGCAAGGTCTTGAATAATTTTACGCCGATCCACTTCAACTAAGGTCCTTACTTGGTCGTTGTACAATTTTAGTGACCGTGCACAACGCTCTTCATCTTCAAGCCTCTGATAACCTACTGAAATTTTTGAAATCACTACATGAGCCTGGGGAAGGGTGCTGACGGCCAAGCGCTATATCACCCTTTGTGAAGGACTTAGGTGTACTCTCGCCCAACGATTTGAAGTCCGTGGACAACACGAACAGGCTATGTCGTAACAGACTGCGTATGCTTTGGACGCTCAAACGTAGCTCGGCACATGGTCTGAAGAGGTGGTCACTCGCTTCTTATCTTCCATTATCAGACCAATGCTAGAGTACGGTTCGCCCGCCTACTTTCCGATTACTAGAGGCGAGGCACAAAAGATCTAACGGGTCCAACACGTTGCTACCAGGCTCATCCCGAGTTGACGTGGCTTGGGGTATGAAGATCGATGCGAGAAACTAGGACTCTACACCTTGTCCTACCGTCGGGTGCGAGTCGACCTCATTATGACCTACCGTGTTCTACATCTCGGTGACTTCCCAATGCTAAGGCCAATGCTGCACTTACGAGGGCCATGCAGCACACGCGGACACAGATACAAACTTGTCGTGCTGAATGTGGAATGTGTCCCCCCCTCCCCCACTGTGCTTCGAACGGAGAGTGGTAAACCTTTGGAACAGTTTACCTGAACATATGATTGAGGCAACATCTGTGCACAGGTTCAAAACGCTGTTAGATTTATATTTTGCCTCTATTCGATTCAGAGAACAATTGCACACTTACGATGACATGTCACATTTGTGTGTCCTGCAATATCGTGAGTCAGATAGTTTAAATGTTACATGAGAACGATAACGATATTCACGGCTGACAATTTTTATAACGTTTTTCACCATATTTCGAAAAGTTGTACAGAATTGATTCTTAGTTGATCTATAATACACTATTCAGTATGAAGTACGATTATTCGTCATTCCTGCACCAAATGCACTGTTGATGTCATGGGCTGTTTCCGCTGCATTTCGACCAAGTTTAAATTGGTACACGGAAATTGTGCGAATTTGTCTTCTGTCCATGTTTCAGTAAATGCTCCGCAAACACGTGTTTCTGACCTAAACTATTGTTGTTGCCAGATAGATCGCAAAACAGACTTAGAAATGATATACGAAATCAATGCAGCACATTAAAAATTATCCAAATACAGAGCTATTAAAATAAGAATATTAAAAGCCGAAATAACTTTATCACTAGTCTACTTCGTGCGCAGAGATCCCATGTCGCGAATAAAATGACGGCGCAGCTTGTCCACCATAATGTGCACACTGGTTGTGAGCATCGCATCAATCTCGATGTAGTCAATGAAGTAGTCTACCATGATCGGGTAACCTTTTCCGTCGTGTGTGTGTGCACAGTCAAAGGGCTGCTCCCTTCTGCCATAGCCTTCCCGGAACCTTCGAAGCGCTACTGGTTCTTTTGTTTTTCGAATGTCATATGAGTGACAGACTGGGCTGTTCCACCCACAAAGTACGGATTATGACTGAGATCAACCCACGCCATTGCTCTTGCCACGCGATTGTTCACCCAAGTGTGAACGACGAATGATTTGCAGCATGGTGCGTTGCGCACACAATTTCCTTTGAATAAAACCAAACCGTCTCCTATAACGATCTCATCACAAAATTGGTATAACAGTGTCAGTCCCGTCTCGGCAAACTTCTCACTATTCGTTGAAAAATGTTGTAAACTGCATCTTCGTCTGTACAACAGCTTAGCTAGGGCGTAAACTCTCTCCAGTGACTGCGAGTCGTTGTATCGCATGGAACATATCGAGGTTATTTTGCAATGCACCCGTTAGCTGAAAGGTGAGTGCCAGACATTGCGCGTGTAATGAACATTTGAGACAAAGATGGGTAGACGATTTCCGAATCGTATCTATGAAGCCGTATAAGTTTCTTCCGAAGGTGACACGGCAGGACGTGGAGCGACATTTTGACGACTGACAGTAATTGCTCGTGATCAATGTATGCGGTGGTCTTCCGTCCAAAGTGTAGTCGCTGAAGTGTTGGACCGCAAACTTGACTTCGAATATCCCATTCTCGATATATGCACAACAGCATTTGGCCGGTATCAGGCTAGTACAATCCAAAGGTTCTCCGTTTTTCATTACCATGCTGACTGCTATCGCAGTGAATCTCAAGAGGCAGAGATGGATCGAAGTAAGTGATTATTGGAGCGGCCGAGATCGGATTTTGTAATCGATCGAAGGTCAACTATTTCGTCTGCTTGTTCATGTAGGCTGTTCATGACACTAACTCTTCCAGCCTTGTCCAGCAATCGCAAACGACGTATAATGTAGGAGACTCTGAACAAGCATGCACCATTCGTGATACAGGAGGCGAGCTGTTCGAGAAAAAGACTGTCTCGTCCACAAACACACCGTCTAACTTCCACATTGCTTACGTGGTGCCTCCACCACACACGAGCAACGGGTACCAAGCAGCGCAGATCAGTGGCACGAACAGTTTATCAGTGCAATAGTAGCGCGCCAACTGGCGTCCATCAGACGCGACCTTTGGTGGAGAAATGGATGTTATGGAGACACCACAAGTGTCTTTGCTTAGAGAAAGCGTGGCGAACCTTTGAAAAGTGAAATGAAATCTCGTTTTCACAGGTAAAACTATAAATAGTTGATGCAACCGATATGAAGTTTCCGCCACCGTAAACGCTAACGTGACCAAGTCTACCAGTCAATCTGTTTATGCAGTATAAAAACGCGGAGACATCACCTGAATAACAGGCGCAATCCATGTCAGTCAAAATGCCAGTAGGTGTAGTGCGAACAAGTTAATTAAACTATCCCCCCACTTGCTGCTCAGCGTCGGGATCAATCAATGACGGGAACAGTTTCAATAAAGGCAAAAGCAGTCCATCTTCAGGCCAGTACGTACTGAACCGATGTGGTCACTACAGCTGGGGTGACGAACCAGCCGACTAGAACTGTCTGGTACTCTCACCTGTGAATCGCAACCCTGCGGTCGTCACCACCACTAGATACAATCAGTGCTGCGAGGTAAACAGTGGTGAGAGATTTGGAGGCTCAGATTATCAAATCGAGGGGACTAAATCTAGCCGCGATCAAGAAAAGAGGCATCAGCATTACGCTGGTACGCAGTACCGACGCTTTGCTGCCGCGCAAACAGTAACAGCCGCATGTGGAGTAAGGATATCGCGAGAATCGCCCGGTCCCTACGCAGGCTCGAACCCGCACCGCGATACAGGAGGACGAGCCCCACTATAGTCTTGCACATGCAGAATTTAAGACCAAATAAAATCCCAGTTGGAAGTCAAAGGCGTCGCAGAAGCATCAGGGCGTTTCTAGCTTATGTGGTATACTAACCATGTTGCTCGCAGAGCGAAACAGCTGTTCGCATGGAGCACGTATTCACACAGAGTACGTTTACATAATTAAAATTTGTTGGTAAACAGATCGCAATAGCACGAAACGTATCGGTCAAACTATGAGTGCAGATGGGCGCTTCCGCGAGCGACCAACTCAAACAGTACTAGCAAAATGCTCGGTCTACGTACACGTACGTCAGGGAGTCATCCAACGCTATAGTAGGCTCACAAGAAAGTTGTGTTGGCAAGTGTATTGGTTGGCAGTGTATTAGGATAACTGAGCGTCTATGAAGCAGAATGAATTGGCATAGCACATCAACAACACTTGCTTCGAACCACAATTCGTTCGGTTTGTTTGATTGCGATTTCACTCACCTGACCATTTGAGTTCGTAAGCTCTGGTAGAGATCGCCATGGGGTGGAACGCAACAATTTATCGAAACGCGCCAATACGTTCTGGCATTCTGAAATCGCAGCGTCCAGTAAACATTTGTCCTGACGGATGGTTGAGAGCAGGCGGGCAAAATACAAGCGAGCACGAAGATAGTAGCCAGTGGGCCAAAGCCACTCAGGACCCTGGGAGTGAGAAGGAGACAAGACGAGGTGATGAAGCAATTATCAAGGAAAATCGTGAGGAGCAATGAACTAGAGCGAAAAAGAAAGCTGGTTCCATACAAGTGAACGAGACTTCGGCCCCCAAAAGGGAGCGTAAAAGTGCGAGTGGCTAAATGGCAATCAGTGAATAGAAAACAAATCATGTGCCTCGAGCAAACGATCAGATGGACGTATTTCGTCAGGTGAATACGTGATCATGACCAGCAAGGCAAGTCGGAGTTGTGAGAATACGAGTTGCGTAAAAACGAAACGCTAGATTAGGGTGTTTGGCAGGTCAATAGAGAGAAGATGGTTAGGGTCACGTGAGATTCCGGTATCTGTAGCAAAATGCAGACTAGCAACAAGACCAAGAGCAGAATCCTAATATAGGAAGCTATATCCAAAATGCAGATTAGCAACCGCACAATCAGAGTTTAGTACATTTAAAAGAGGTGAGGGATAGTAAAGAGACAACAGCGTAAGGTTAAGCTTAAAATTAAACGACCGCGTACTTAGAGTAGTACAAGTCAGAAGAAAAACTAGATTCCAAAAGATGTGCACACCACGATAGATTTAGCGACTGAGAGAGAACTAGATATTTCGCAGGAATGAGATTTGAAAAAATGCGAAAAATTGCAATATCGAGTAAAAATAGTACAATACGGTATTGATAAACATTAAGATAAACGGACCGGAAGGAGAGTTTTACAAACCCATGAGACTCCAGCTGGAAAATCGCTGTTATACCCAATAAACAGTATACTGACAAAAATAACGGAAAAATCCGTGAAAACAGATGGCAGCTCTGTAGCGAGGAAAGGGAAAGTGCACAACAGGTCAGAGATCAGAAAATCCCGACGATGAATTACTTTTAACGGTGAATACGGATCACACAAAGTAAGGAGATGGCAAGACGAATGTGAAACCTGGTCGCTTAAAGCAGCGGACCTGAAGAGGCTCGTTACGTTCGACCACCAGTGCCTTCGTAATTTAGCTCACATCTGGTGGGAACACCGCGTGAGCGACGAGCGTGTTCGACGCCTTGTTTACGGCACAGGAAAAGGAAATGAACCGCTCAGTACCGTCATTTCACGCACCAGGCTCCGATGGCTCGGCCACGTGTTACGCATGCCAGCCCACCGACTCCGCGACGTGTGTTGTTTGCGCACCGGGGGTGTGGATGGAAGAAGAGGAGGGGTGGCCAAGCGATGACTTGGGCGAGAGGAATGAAGGCCCTCATTTCTGAGCTGGCCTCGGTTGGAACGTCACGGCTCCCTGGTTGGGGTTCGAAAGACGATGAACACGTTTGGTTGGACACACTGTCTGATATGGCTAGGAGCCGTCCTCAGTGGCGTTCTTGCTGTGAGTTTCTTTGTCCCACCCCACCCTCTTAGCCTCCCCCTCCAACCACGATCTCATTATTTAGCCTTATGTAATTTTGCATAGTATTTTTTTGATGCACAGTAGCCGGCTGGTAGCTTACCGGAACGATGCCCATCCGTTACCGGTAGGGCAGCCGGCTTGCAGCAATTGCATTTTTTCTCTCCTTTTTTCTGTGTATTGCGGCACAGTAGCTGAGGTGTTCCCCACCTCTAGGTAACGTGTATGATGCTGATGATGATGAAGGTACTCCATGTCTAGTTTGTTCCTTAACCAGAAGCACTGTTACTCAAAGACAGTTCAAATGTAACCTAATATACCTACAGTGAGTCAAGGTTGTTTAGAGTGAGAGCTACCGCTTACTAAATAGGCACCAAGTGAAAGTGCCTAATTCAGGTCAGGTATTGAAGAATGAACTCCGAATAACCGGGTATCTAACCTGAGGCAGATCGCTATGTGTAGAAAAACAGAAACTATGACATACAGAGCGGAGGCTCATCGTAAACAGCAAGATAGTAAAGACAGATCAATTCTAAACTGATTAGGAAACGAGTAATACAGATATAGTGGTTAGGAGACAGATATTTCGTTTTCGTAGGAAACCAATGTAGGAGAATACATCTCTCCTCGAGGCTAAACGCACGGACCCGATTAGTAGCAGCGATTCCTGAAGTACGCCGCAGTCTTAGTGGTTGCGACCTCTCTCATTGCGGCTGAGGAGTGCAGCGGACTCGCGCGATGCACCGGATCACAAGCATGCAAGTATAAAGTGGATGTGCATGTGATGAAGCGTTCAAACGGAAGTGACGCTCAGAATATAACACTGAAACGCTAGTGGAGCGTAGCGCAAACGGTCTGCTCAGGAAAGGTGTGCCCAAATAAATAGTTCAACAGTATCGGAACGCTGTACGCGCATAGATCGGGCAGGGTGAGAATTTATGACAAACTCTCACCCCCCCTTCAATATCTCCAGCGGTGTGAGACAAGGTGACCGCTGTCACCTTTCCTCTTTAACTACGCCATTGATGAAGACATGCAAACAGCGTTCATGGAACAAAACCTACAAAGTGTGAAGCTGCTTCCTGGTGAGCAATTTCTTGAGTTGGAGTATGCCGATGACACTGCCGTAATCTGTGACAGCTCCCAAACTTGCCAATCAACAATAGACGGATAAACCCTGGCTGTCAATAGTTTTGGGCTTTGCAGTGCTCCTTCGAAACGCGAAGTCCTCCTTCAATATTGGCAAGTATCAACCCCTGCGCTGACGCTTTGTGGTGATCAGCTGGAAATCGTTAAGGGAATTTAAGTACGTAGGAGTTGTATTAGCGCCTGTGAAATAGATGAGGTCACAAACCCTACGGCGAAAGATCAAAGTGCTTTCAAGAATAGTCACATGTGCGCCAGCATGACATCACTCTTCCTTGGAAAAGCAAAGTTTACAATGCAGCCGTGCGTTCAACCCTCCTATACAGTAGTGAAACCTGACCCATCAAATCGACACACATAAAGAGGTTAGACACGTTGGACCATTGCTTCCTTCGCAGCTAAGCTCACATCTGGTGGGAACAGCGCGTGAGTAATGTGCGTGTTAAGCGTCGTGTATCGGGCGGAGGAAAAGCGAGTGAACCGCTAAGCACCATTATAGCACGCGCCAGGCTCCGATGGATGAGACGTATTGCGAATGCCAGCATATCGGTTGCCACGACGTGCGTTGTGTACGTGACCGGGGTGTGGATAGAAGAAGGGATGCCAAGTGATGCCTTGGTCAAGAAGAGTGAGAACCCTGATTTGGAAATTGGCGTCAGTTGGTGTCTCGCGACTGCCGGGCTGGAGACCGAAGGACGGAGAACATCGTCATCATCATCATACACGTTAGCTCGAGGTGGGGAACACCTCAGCTACTGTGCCGCAATACACAGAAAAAAGGTGAGAGAAAAATGCAACTGGTGCAAGCCGGCTGAGCTACCGGTAACGGATGGGCATCGTTCCGGTAAGCTACCAGCCGGCTACTGTGTATCAAAAAAATTACTATGCAAAATTATATAAGGCTAAATAATGAGATCGGGGTTGGAAGGGGTGGCTAAGAGGGATGGGTAGGGATAAAGAAACTCACAGCACGAACGCCACTGAGGTCGCTTCCTTGCCATATCAGCAAGTGTGTCCAACCAAACGTGTTCATCGTCTTTCGGACCCCAACCAGGGAGCCGAGACGCTTCAACCGAGGCCAGCTCAGAAGTGAGGGCCTTCATTCTTCTCGACTAAGTCATCGCTTGACCACCCCTCCTCTTCTTCCATCCACATCCACGGCGCGCAAACAACGCAAGTCGCGGAAGTCGGTGGGCTGGCATGCGCAACACGTGGCCGAGCCATCGGAGCCTGGTGCGTGAAATGACGGTACTGAGCGGTTCAGTTCCATTTCCTGTGCCGTAAACAAGGCGTCGAACATGCTCGTTGCTAACTCGGTGTTCCCACCAGATGTGAGCTAAATTGCGAACGCACTGGTGGTCTAACGTCTTTATGTCCATTGATCTAAGGGGCCAGATTTCACAACCGTACAGTAGGGTCGTAGGTATCGCTGTATTGTACACTCTACCCTTCAGGGCAAGAGTGATGTCGCGTCGGCGCCATAAGTGGCGAAGATTAGCAAAAGCGCCCGAGCTTTTGCTATACGATTCGTGATTTCATCTTCAATCCCACGGGCGCTGATACAAGTTCCCAGGTAGTTGAATTTTTGAACGACATCTAGCTGATCCCCACCAACGGTAAGCGTAGGAGGCGGTCCAGACCAATCTTGGAGGAACGCTTTGCACTTCGAGGGTGCAAAGCAAAGCCCGAAGTGACGGACAGCTAGTGCTAATCTGTCCAGTGCCGCTTGACACGTTTGTGAGCTGTCCCAGATTAGGGCAATATCATCAGCCGGAGGACACGTTTGTTTGATCCATGTGTTGACATGGCGAAGGTCCGATCTTGGTGGCATTTGTGCTGTGAGTTCCTCTGTCCGTTGCTCTCATCTTTAGCTCTCCCCCCCCCAAGCTCGATGTTATACCCGGTGCACAATGTGACATGGAATTATATTAGTAGATTTTCAGTTTTTGTAGTAAGCGATATTTAATATATTATCTTTTTGTATCGCGGCATACTAGCTGAGGTGTGTTGCTCACTCTTGCTGTACGTGTTTTGGTGACGGAGATGATGATGATAGTTAGCACGCGATATACCGGATCACAAATACGCAAGAACAAGCAAAGGAATGAGAGAGGATGGGTTATTTACAGACATATTTACGTGCAGTGAAACATTGGGCCTGAAGAAGTGACGTTCAACACTGAGTATAGCGTTCTTAAGAAGATGCACTTGTGATACAAGGCAAAGCAACAAGTGTGCGGTATCTTGGTGTTTGAAGAGCACACAAACACTCCGCCATGTGTTACCAGCACCATTTGTTTGTTTATAAAGGTCAACGAGCGCTGCTTAAGCAAGCAGATGTCGCAAATTGTCTGAATGCGACAGCGCCTACGACCCCGGAAAGAAGTTTTCAGGACACACACACACACACACAACTGCACTCATTCGGCATACTACCGCTTGCTCCCCTCCAACTACGTATTAAGCGACCGGTTGAATTCTTTTGGACGATGCACGCAGAGATAATCGATGGGAACAACCCCAGGCATATTACGAATTGGTTGACCGTAAGCGTTGAGAATCCAAAACAAAGTTGCAGCGTGGCTCTTGGTTGTGGAGACCTCATAGTTCTACAAAACGTCGCGCTGTACACGTCTTTCTGTTCTCAAAGTATGCCAGTCATGTTGCTATGGGGCGTACATGCGATGCGTTATCGGCGACAGAGTTATTAGTGACAGTTATCAGTTGATAACTCTGTATTACCCAAGACACATCGTTACCAGGTCACAGATTGGGTGATCCCCTTACTGATACCGTTGTTGGATGGTACTGAGGTCACTCTGATTACCAGCTTCGTCCCATCGCCAAGTGACGACAACAATGAAACCCATGTTAGAAATACTAGGCTGTAAAAAAAGTGTTAGTCTTCGTATGAACTTAGCTTGAGCAGTAAACGCTTTGGGGAAGGTTACTGTTTTCTTGTTCATATCCGGATAGCCAGCATTAGTGCCGTGTCCGTGTTAGCCTCGATACAGCGAGGGAAAACTGTTGGCCGACTAAGTTACTCATGGCGAGTCGATACGAATTCCGCGGGGGGCGCAGTTCACCAAGGCCGAATCGTTGTTTCGACTAAGGTCGAAGGGGGAGCGTTACCACACTATTGGCCTTGGGACAGCAACACAGTTAAAATAAATAACAGGCACCAGTTTGTTGGAAAAAAAGACGTTTACATAAACAAAAATGTTTAGAAACATTAATATAGAGACCCGTTGCGATGTGCACGAACCTGCCTCAAATAAAAGAGAATAATTGACCTGAGGTCGAACTAGAAAAGCCAAAATAGCCGTAAGCGACCCCTTTCAGAATTAAAAGTACAAGAGGCGGAAGCGAACCAACCACTCTGCGGGAAAGACGTGTGACGCATATGGTGAAATTGATCGAAGAGCTGGCAAACCAAAAACGTCCGCTGTCTACCTGATGATAGTTAAATCCTCTGGCAGTGGAATAGTCTGTCGAATCGACAGAGTTGTGGTAATCGCCTCGATAGGCCATGTCGTTAGGACCAAGGGTACGCATACCGTACGGACCCAAGATACGAGTGCGGGCTACCTCGAGAGCTGTCCACGCTCTCTCCGGTGTGAAAAGCGAGGGTGCCTGTAAGATGTCATAAAACAAAGAGGAAACAGTGAAACAAGGCAAATGGATGGTACTGAGATAAGTACAGCAACGTGTGCGCTGTGAATGTCCGTGAGAAAGACGAAATCAAGATAGATTGCAAAGGAAACAGTATCGGTTGAAATGCAAAAATAATCGCTGGCTTGGTTGGGCAAGGGAACTAAAAGTTATAGCAAATGAGTGAATCCAATTTCATGACCAAATATAACAAGTTATGGACAACGTGTCAAAGGGAAGTGACAAATGGCAGTAATGACATTCAAAGAATCAGACAGATGAGAGGTCAACGACAAGTGTAGTAAACGAGCCAAAATGAGTTAAGGGGAGGGCAAAACGACCGGTAAGGCCAACTGGCACAACACAGAGAATTAATGGAGCTCAATGAAAGTGTTGGGAAGAGAGTTATAGACGTCAAGCGAAGGAGAAAGACTACAAATACGTATGCATCTCAATACAAACGATAAGGACCGAGGCATGAATCAGACGCCAGAAGAATAATCCGTTTTCAAGAAAATATAAAGCTTCTCTCGATAAATAAGGGTATGCTGGTAGGTTGCACTGGCGCATCGCCGCCGCACGGCCACCATCAGTTGCACAGGAGCGCAGCATACTAAGTGGTCGCTAGCAACTAAGAAAGTTCGAACCGGAAACTTTTGGATGAGACGACCTCTGCCCTATCCTGTCGACTACCAATCGATCCATGATAAAAAGTACATAGAAAAGAAAGTGGGAGACAAATAGGACGACCAGTGCGACGCCGTCAAGCGACTCGTGGTAAAGGGTTGAAGAAAATAATTGTTAAAAGTCCAGCAACCAGAAGGCCTTCGCTAGGCTAGCGGAATAAGTTATGCCCAACGGTGCAATAAGTCTCAGCGTTAACAGGCGAGTGACTCCGAGTGATCCAGCCAAAAGACCACAGTAAGACAGCTGAATTATCGAACACCAGAGTGTCTCAGGTTGTCCCTAGTTGGCAGCAACGGGTTCTGGATTTGCCTGTCACTGCGGCTACCTTAGTAGAGCCACAGGACGCCTGCGCCTACAGAGGGACCATGGAGGGGGGGGGCTAGCGTCGCATCACCCACAGCTCCATCTTAGCACCGCAAATCAAGTGTAAACCCGAAAGAACGGAACTGCCCCACATTCCTTCAACATGTACAGCATCAGCATTCCTGTCTATCTATGTAGGAAATCATGCGTACCACACGTACACAAAGCGGTGGATGGGCCGTAATCTGTTAATTACTGGATGTAACCACTCTTTTAGCCTACACGGCAACGAGGACGGTGCACCCCGTCCACCCGGCAACGATTCGCAGTCTCCTGTAGCAAGTAATCGAGGTGGAGGGTGTTAGACAGGTAGACACATTGTCAACACACACATCAAGCGAAGCCACACCGGGGATAGCAAACAAGCAAAATAAAATTCGAAGGAAAGCAAACACGCAAAAGTGACACCGAAGATGCAGCAAAAGTACAAAATTGTACAAATCAAATATAATGGAGCAACCTTTATCCAGATTGAAAAGATCTGGTTTAAGTTTAAATCGGTTGAGCCCAACTGTGGTAAAGAAGCATCATGTATGCAACATCAACTTCAGCAGGTGGTTTGTCTTTATGCGGATGGAAAAAGGCATGTATATAGAAAGAGAACATAGTGTTAAGTAGGCGGTGGGTAAAATTGGACGGAGAAACACACTCAGTGTCGTGTGATAAACTACCTCGACCAGTAAAATTGATGACAATGACATGCATAGTAGATCACAGGCGGAAGAAGAAAAGAAGTTAAGTATGAAGGAGTGTGGCGCATTTACGCATCTTGTACCTGGACGCTTCAGGGGTCATCAGGACAAGTGGTGAAACATTTTTTGGGTTTCCAATGCTGACCCATTTACCTGTATTTGTTCAACTTTATTATGGACTCTATCAAGGAGCGCTTCTTTTGCGAACTAGCAAAATAATGTCAGTGAGGTGGAGCCTGGTTGAAAATTAGTTGATCTGGGTTACACAAGTGTGAGTGTATAGCTCCATGACACTTGTGAGGGGACTAAGTCAACCCGCTAAGAGTTCCGAGCATATGATATCCGCTTCGCATCGTCAAAGCGCAAAGTGCTGTTGCAGGACAATCAAGCGTTAGGTGACGGCATACGTCTTGATGGCGAAGAATTCATCAACAAATCAACAACAGCAGTGCATCAGCCATTTGAACTGATGCTTTGCTGGCATACAATCATGATGACAAAAGGAATGAAGAATAATGAAAGGGATAAAAGGGGGATAGAGCTGAAGACATTAATGCCCTAAACAAACATGCAGGGTCAAGGCGTCTACACCTAGTGTAGACAACATACCGGCACAAACAGATGGCTATCGTGCAAATGCGGAATCAGCGAGACGGCTTCCTTGCGGCTTTCACCGTCCCGCTTCATAATCAGCCATTAACCCGCAGATAATTCAGCACCAAACACACCTTAAACAAGCAGTCCGACTACGAGACGTCAGCAGACGAACCACTAGTGACGACAACGAGTCACTTCCTCAAAAGTCTCGAGCCAAGCACAAGGCGGGTCACGTGGACTTTAGCCCGGAAGGCGGGACGGACCGACGGCAGCCAGTTTGGTCGTCAGTGACTTCATTTCACGCTGCCAGGTCAACTTCCGTCCACCTCGAGCCTTGCGCCACCCCACATCTGGCAGACTAAACAACGCTCTTCTAGGAGAGCGGTGATCAGGCATACGTGGTACGTGCACAAGCCAACGTAACTTATTCAGTGATATCTGTTGTTCTATGGGACTAGCGTGGTTATCATTGCTTAGTACGTTAAATTGGCTGTCACGATCCCATCGAACTTCATGTTCAGTGAAAACTGGTAAAGATTTGCCCCAAATTATTTACAGTTCATTCGGAAGCGTACGAGTGAAACATCGACCAAACTGTATTAAGATTTCAAAAGTTTTCACTTGAAATGCTGTGCAACAACTCGCTCCTTGGGTAGTCCGGGACAAGATGACAGTGAGGTGGGTCTTGAGAAGTGTGAGTTTAGATGTAGGTACTATGTCGACAAATAGCATGTGATGGGTATTTTGTCATCACATTGTCAGCATCGCTGTGGTAATCTGATCTGACCGGAAGCTGAGACAACTCCTCCCTTGCCAATCGAAGGAGACGCTTGGTACGTCTCCCGGTAAAGTTTATGGAGAAATCACAGCGTACCAAGGCATGATCAGAGTCGACGCAGGTAGTCGAAAACGAGGGGCAATCCAGGATGGAACCACGCCATCTGTAACTTATGGCAATATGATCTAGTTGGGTCTATCGCTGGCTAGCTACAGGAGGACGCTAAGTGGCAGTTCAGCGTCCACTGTGTCTAAAAGCGGTGCTACTAAGAAACAACTGGTGCTCAGCACACAGTTGCAAAAGACGCTCGCCGCTGTCAGTAGGTTAGGAGTTAAACCCACTTACCACCTAGCTGAGCTTCTAAAGAGCTCAGAAGTCCTACTTGTGTGTACATATCTACTGCAAATACTAGCATATCTGAACTAGTAGCACTGTGTAGTAGCGCGTTCAGTTCGTGATAGAATGTGTCCTTGACGGCATAAAAAGAGTAGATGGTGGATACATAAGCGGAAATCTCAAAGAAACAGCGTTTTGTACTATTTCCGGAATCGGCCTCCATTCATGCCGTCAAACGGTTGCTCACCGGATCCAATCAACCAACGCTGGCTCTGCCTAGGACCTGAGAATGATATCTACCCCAGCTTGACCTCTGGGTGCTGCATCCGCGTCTCCAGGTGCGCGCAGCGAATAGCACGAGGACAAGCCGGGCGCAGTTAATTAAACAAACCCAATAGGGTCATTGATCCTAGTTTCGGACACACGACACACCTCAATATCCAGTGTGTCCAACGTGCGCGTGAGCACAGCCTGTTGATCTGCTTGTCATAGAGTGAGAACGTTGAACATAGCAAGGAAAACGGGACAGCGTGGACTTATAAGAGACTGTTGCCGATAGGCGTCCGGTGGGTGTTACGGGAAAGTGGTTGCAGATGGTTCTACTCCAATGGCACTTCGGTTGCTGTCAATCAAATGGAAATAAAGAAGTAGGGTTAGTAATGGGGGTTTGGATGGGAGGAAGAGAAACAGGTGAAAAAGAAAGGGGGAGGCGCCAGCAGTAGCAGGTTTTCGCTTATCCGCGCCGCTGTATGCAGCAGATAAGGTGACCCTTGGTAATCTGCGCAACGGCCGATGCAGAATGAAATTTATGTTTGAAGAAAAGGTCATGGTTGTATGTGGGCTGGTACTGCCAGGGCACCCAGACCTAGACAGGAGGACGATAAGGGTCCTCAACGAAAGCCTTTGGCTCAAAAGCCTGTCATCGAGGCAGCGCGGAAGTGGCAATAATTTAGTTTTACAGAAACGGACATCATCCTATTTTAAACCCCAAACATGGAGGACCAGGAAACTGAGTTTGCCTGACCTCTCACCATTGACCAACCTGGTATGAGTAGCTCTCAAGGGACCCGGAGGCACCACGCAGTATAGCTCAATGGGTCAAGGAGGTACGCAAACCGTCGCACCACGTTAAGGTCCAGATCGCTGCGACACTTGAACAATTCCTCTGCATTAGCAGCCGCATTAGCGGAGATCGGTGTGTCGCTATTGAAATTAGCCCATGTGTTGTAAAACAAGACGAGCATTATCGAATTCCAGACATCCGTGGTACCATGAGGGGAATTCCAGTTCTGGAAGATAGCGTATACAAGACAAGTGCGGAGATCGTTTTCTAATGAAGTGAGGACTGATTCCTTTGGTTTTAGGATCAAATGTGTCCTTATGTCCGTGATCATCGCAAACTACGGAACACTGCTAGTGCCGGACAGTACTCTAGTATCCGCAAGCATAGTGTGCGCGACTGAGCACGAGTAGCGGTTTAGTCACAGCAGATCATTAGAGACGTGTTGCGTAGGACCTGTTTCCGAGTACCAAGGAGGACCGTGTTTCGTTTGTCGGGCGTTGGATGGATAAAGTTGACGGATGAATAAACTGGATGTTGCTGGTCTACCGTGCCTTCTATTTATGGGGTACAGATGAGTATTGAGAGGGATATTGAAAACCTCAACAAAACCGATGCCTCATTATCCTTGCGACATACTTAGTCCTTATTGACAGCGTGTTGTAGAAAACATACACGCGTCTTGACTACAAAATGATAGCGCTTAGGATACATAATGTATACGCCATAGAACCTTTCGATCGCCATTATCAATCATCATTCCATTGATAATCAAGAGTGTATGGTAGCGAAGTACCCGTTCAAATTGCTAATGTGTTGCTGTCGATGATGGCACTACAGAATCAGTGAGATAGCCCATCAGCAGTTTCTACTGCCATACGCTATAAGTGACCCTAACCACGGATATAAATAAGCATCAAGCAAATTGTGTAAACAGACGAGAGCGGCAAACACAGAACTGGGGCGCTGTTGAGGGTCGTGTCCTCTAAGGAATCGAAACAAACACAGTGAGGCGTGTGGACCGCAGCATAGGAAGCGAGCCGGACCAACACGTTACCATGGAGCACATATACATCATTCCTGACAATTAGGCCAACTATTGCACCCTCCCATTCGAATTTGACGCCGTTCTAGGTGAAAGAAACAAAATAACCTCCAACTAGATAAGCGGCAAAGGAGCATATGAATCACATACAGAAGCCAAAGCGACCTATCAAGCCTCATTGATTGAGTCAAGCTAGCCATCAAGGACACAAGGGTGTGTCATGCTACTCGAACTATGTTCCGTAGAATAGAGTGGCCAAAGAACTTAACGTGCGTGAGATCAGTAGATGTGCGAGGCGTAGTTTCACTACCACAGAACGGAAGAAAATGACTCTCCGCAGAGAGTCAAGACCTGGTAGTACAACTGAAGGTTGTGTAAGCCTTCGCGAAGCATGAATCACGATGAGCAGATCCAGTTTCTTGTCTTTGCGGGTCACAGCTGATGAGGAATCCGGGCTCCTGGGTCGTATGTGAAGATTTACATCCAACACCGCTGTATTTCAGACAATTGTAGATATCAGAAGACGAAAGGTGCGGGATGACACTATCATATCGTGCATACTCGTCGACCACGAAGATGCAACTAACAAGGGGTTCAAAACAATGTCACATGAAATCAACCGATGAGCAAATGTTTTCGATCGGTGCGTTGCACGCTACCACGGTAGGCTTAGTGTTACCGTCAGGCGTTGTTGGACATAGAGTGGTGGGTGCTGTCGATCGACGACAAAAGCCAAGAGTAGTTTGAGTATGCGAGACCTTTGACTGCGCATGAGGACCGTGAATGACTCATCCGGGTTTAGCTATTTACCAATGCATATTAAATGCCTCGTAATTGTTGAGGCAACTTTGTTTCTTGATTCATTGGGTGTAAACAGAAGGACTAAGGCATTGAAAGCCAATAAATAGGTGCTCATATAAACTGCGAAATTCCATCATTGCAACTGGAGATGGTGTTTATGAGCATACATGAAGCATATTGACTAGAAAAAAGTGGTAAGAAGTTCAAGCAGCTAAGGAGTAAATAATCGCGACATGACAAGCCACTTACTACGACCATCGTGATTAAGAAATTGGGACGCAGTTGGTTATCTGTGAAGCCGGAAGAAGACCCAATGGAATCACGGTAAATTCCACGATTGTACATCAACGCTGGATCCTTCGTATCCGACGGTATCCAGAATAGGGGTTCGAACGAGGACTGTATATGAGTTAGCCAATCGGACCAGGTGAAAAATTTGCCATCTGGCAATTGGACACCAGAATGTGGATAATAAGGATTGTTTTTCTCATCAACGGTTTGATGGGCCTCATTTAACCACTCGACGACTGCATAAGCCAAACCGATTAGTTCCACAGCAGATCCGTCTCGTGGTGTCGCTGGAATCCCTCGATTTCCAGCGAGATCCGAACTCCCCATTTTGTCCATCCATGTCCCGCAATTGAACGCGTTGCCACCAGCCGGAAAACCGGTTTGTGGGTCAACGCAAGCGGTCACCTGTGCGTGAGACACGAGGACAGAAAGGCTGCGTTCGTTAACACATAGGAGCAAAAAACATGTACGAAAAACACGGAAGTAGAAATTAAGTCATCTCAGAGAGGAAGGAAAAATATGGTTGAAGGAGCTCGAGACAGTCTACAGAGGAACGCAAGGGGGCTCAGTACGAATCGATGCAATATGACTGAAACGCAGTACAAAACATAACGCAACAACAGGAGTGGATATTCGCCTGCGAAAGGGGCATGCAATCGTGTGAAAAAACTTCACGTCGCTAAATATACGCAAGAATATGGAAGATATGGTCAACCTGCCGTCAGGCGCCCCCTCAAAAGGTAAAGAGTGAAAACGTTGCAGGAGATGCCGAACAAAAGTGTATATTGGATTCTTGTTGCTAACAGAAACCCGACCACATCCAAGCAAGATGAAAAGGACGTACCCTGAAACCTTCTAGCTTCATCTGTTCATCCAGCTGTGGGCCTGCATTGCGTTCAACGAAATCGATACCGGTTATGTGAAGCTGTAGTACTTCCTGGATTACCTCATGAACAGGTTGCACATGTCGGTTGATGATCGAACTGCGTCGTTGTGGTTTCTCGTCTGGCCAGCCAATGGCGTCATCTGTGGGGAACCAGCGCCAAATTGGACGGTGGACCAAACCACAAGGAGGAGAGGTACATTTGGGCACCGATGCAGACTTGTTAACGACGGACGACGAATTGGTGTTATCTTGTTTATCGGATGCATGGCCGGCTGAGATGGAGGAAAGCCTGGGATGCTGTTGTAGCTGTGCTTTAGCGATAGCCTTCTCGTAGCACACAATCGAGTACATCCAGTACCAGACCGCATCTCTACAGTTGTAGCGCGGGTGGACATCGTGGCCTTCGCCAGTGAGATTAGGAATTAGGCCGTGCCTGACCAAACTTGCGTAGCTCAAAATCACATCAGCCGCATCCTACACAATTTGGAAAAAAAGTAGCAGGAGATCAAAAATAATGTAGATAATGAAAGTGCCATTCAGGATCACGAAATCAACTACCTCAAAGCGTTCGGTAATAAGTAGGCAGCCGCGTAGTGAAATGAAAGTGTCTCGGCCCCAACAACGCCACATTCCCTCAGCAAAATGAGGAAGTCCCGCCGCAAGACTACAATACGTTGGATTGGATTTGGATGCGAGTTCCGGGGGAATAATGCTCTCTACTAAAGGTGCCGGCCCAGGTAGAAGGCAGTTGCCGATGAATCCATAAAACTGATTGGAAGCCACAGCAAGACGTTTGATAAGTGACGAAGAGGATGTAATCCATGGAGCCATGTGAGAAATAATCTGAGAGGGTGGGGGGGGAGAGATAAGTGTATTAAAGTGTGCTGACGGGTTGGGAGGTAGTGGCAATGTTAGGTGCTAAACAAAAATTTCCGTGCATCCACCCCGACACTGAATCAGAGCGGTACTAATGGGGGATGGAGAAAATATTTGTCACTTTACGACATAGGAGGAAGACCAGTAAATATGCGATAAACAAAACACCGAGGTTGAATTCACCAAAAGAGCTGCGCATAGGAGAATAACCAAGGAGACATACGATCATTGACGAACTCCCATGGCATAAACAATGAAACAAATAAGTATACATGGTCGCCAAGTGGACCGTTTAACGAAATATGACCATAAACGCATCAAAAAATCCCGCAGTGAATGTGAAATCGCGAAGCAGGGTGTAAGCGGGCCCGTATGTGTGTGTGTGCTATGGGACCCAAAGTAGTCCCCAAAGATCGCAAGCTGAAACTACCGAAGTCAATGAGACTCGAATTCACACTAGTGCACATATTTCGATCAGCCCTCCAACTGGTGATACATTCACATGACAATAGCACTATATAAACAAAGCTAGAGTGCATTGTACAGGCACCTTGGCCTGGTTAGTAAAAGTGCCTAGAGCTAAAGTCCTGCCGTTGTTCTTACTCTCTGCTGGGTTGGGTAGTCGAACGTGTAGTCTGTGTTCGATTAATAACCCGACACCGTGCGTATTGCGTCTAAGTCCTCGGGTGTGCGTATGCGAATTCTATCGGCTATGTTATCCGTCACAAGTCTGTTCATTAAACTAGAAGTCGTACCAGTAGTTATCTACGCGGCGCGTCTAAGAAGCAGTGATAACAATATGTGTCATCTTAGTGCGCTAGCAGGGAGTGAAAAAAAACGTGGCAACTATCAAGTACAACATTCGGGTAGGATGTAGCTACCAAGTGAAACTCCAATGTAGTGAATATAACATTTTACCACAAATCATTATCATTATACACGTTAGCTAGACGTGGAAAACATCACAGCTGTGTTGCAAGGAATACGAAGGAAAAATCTGCCCCAGAGGCACACCAGCGGAGTCAACAGTAACAAATAGGCATCGTTCTGAAGAGCTATCACAAGGCTATTGTGCTGCAAAAAGGAGTTATATTACGCATAGGAAATGTGATACCGTTAGCACAGGGGAAGATAAAGTAAAAACACAAACGCCACTGCAATTGGCTCCTCAACATGTCAACACGGACATTCAGCCAAACGTGTTCATCGTCCGTCGGATCGTAACCAGAAAGCTTAGAGGCTCCAACTGAGTCAACCTTCGAACTAAGACCTTCGTTCCTTTTGATCAGGCCATTACTTAACATCTTCTCTTCTTCTTCTATTCCCACCCCCCGGCGCGCAAACAACGCATTTCGCGGGAGTCGGCCGGCCGGCTGGCATGCGCAACACGCGGCCGAGCCATCAGAGTCTGGTGGTGAAATAACGGTGCTGAGCGGTTCGCCTATTCTTATTACGCAAATAAACAAAGCGTCGAAGATGCATATTGCTCACACAGTGTTCCCACCAGATATGAGCCGAACTGTGAAGACACCGATGGTCGAAGGTAACTAACCTCCTTATGTTTGCCGATCTAACCGATCTGGTTTTACAACCGTAGAGTATGGTCGAAAGTACGGCTGGTTTGTAAACCTAACCCTTCAGGAAAACAGTGATGTCGCGCAGGGCGTCACAGATAGCGAAAGTTAGCAAAAACGCGTCGAGCTTTTGCTACACGAACTGTGACCTAAACTTCGATTCCACAGATGCTAATACAACTCACAAGGTACTTGAAGTTTTGAACAACTTCTAGCTGATCCCCACCACGAGTTAGGACAGGAGGCGTTCCCTGCCAACCTTGGAGGAAAGCTTTGCACTTGGAGAGTGCAAAGCAAAGATCGAAACGGTTGACCGCCAGCGCGAATCTGTCCAGTGCAGCTTGGCACGTCTGGGATCTGTGATACATGAAGGCAATGTGGTCAAGAGATACTACAAGTCAAGAAATAGTTCATCTGGAGCAGCTACACAACTTCTAAATCATGTGCTGTGAACGCGATCTCCATGATTTTGTCTATAGCGAAGTTGAAAAGGAAAGGTGACAGCGGACATCACTGTCTCACACCATTGGAAATAGTAAAAGGCGCGACAGCTTGCCGTAAGCCCTCACTCCGCCCGAGCTATGAGCGTGTAGTGCACGGATGACACTTACATATTTCTCTGGGTAGAGAGTTCCAAAGGGCACATTGATCAGCCGAATCGAAGGCACCTTCGATGTCGAGGAACACGAGAACGATGCACGGCCAATATTCGTAACGGTGCTTTAGCAAAAGACGCAAAGTGACTTGACTACAAAACTGATAGTTAATCCAAAACGAGGTTGAATCAAATGTGATCTTCCATGCAGTGAATTTAAATGCAACCGGTTCTAGAATGTCCAAAGTAGACGAGTCATTTCAGATAGAAACTCGAAGAAAAATGGGGGAAATAGAGCAGTCTGGCGTACTAGGTTGACCCTGCAATACTCACGATAGGCCCGTGGCAGAGCTGTACGCTATCGGGCGCGTCCCCAGGTTGTGGATCGGGGAATGCCTTCCTTGCGGAGTTAACTGCGAATAAGTCCCGTTTGTCTTGTAGGCGAGATGAATAAGCAGTCGCGGACAATCAGCGGCAGCCGATCAGAGCGTGGAGAGTGCTGGGCCGATCACCTGGTTCTCCATTAAGTACCACAAGTGCTCGTACGGCGCTGTATCAAAGCCAATGTGACCGGCTATAGGGTCGCTGAGCACTCATCCCTGTAACTGAGGGTGAGTATCTAACGGAGAGCGGATGATCAACCTCGCTGACCACCAGCTTCTCTGCGGACTGCTTCCGAACACAAAGGCGAATGAGCCATTCGGCAGTCAACGGTCTTCGTGAATCCCCCTGCTGCCTCGCGCGTCAGGTCTTTAGACCAAAGACTCGGGGTGGGGTCCCTTAAGTCAACCCAATTCCTCGACCTGGGCAACCAGGTAGCTCAATGCCCACACATCGCATGAAACTTTCCATCCATTCAGCTGACTACCACTTCTTCCTTTTTGTTATTGTTACTCATGTGTTGTGGCACTCTGCCAAACGTTTATTGGGCAAATGGTAAATAAAAAATAAATATACTCATGATAGAGAATTTGGGTTGTTTTCCAAATTGAGTTATCGGTTTGCAGTCGTCTCGTTGCTAGGCTCGGCAACAGCATCGATGCGAGAAAGAATGTAGGTTCATCAGGGTCTAGCATTAAAACAAGAGATCGATCAAAAAGCATTGGAAACTGAAAGTGGCTTAAGAGGCCCTGTGAAATTGTCTCTATACTAATGATACCGTATAGTCAGGCAACGAAGTGTCTGTAATGGATGCACACAGCTTGGAGAGCAACCGCACATCCACATCCAGGAAGTTCTCAACAATATCAAATCGGGATAAGGCTTGGTGCACGGGTAATGACGAAAAGTTCGCTGAGTGCAGGTAGTGTTAAAACTGTTGTGGCTGTGCGAGTCCAAAGGGTTTGCTCACAGTTAAAGGAGAGCTACATTATGCCGATCATGTAGAGGACGTGGATTAAACAGGTGACCAATGGAAGGACGGAGATTAGCTTCAAATTTACAAAAAAGCAATTTTTCAGAAAATAAGTGTTCAGTGATCAGAGGGTACGAAGATTCGGTGAAAAACAAAGCGAATGTGTTACTGCAGCGAATTCAAACAGAGGCATCGAAGGCCTATGGGGTAAAGGTTGAACTTCAGCAAAGGAAAGCAAATTTGACCGAAAGTGTCCAGAAGCGGAGGCGTTAGATTCAAAGTGACTTAATCCCTAAATAGTTCTGGCCAATTTCAGCTGAGCGTACGTCTCTCTGTAAAGATACCCAAGTATGAATAGTGAGTTTGGTGTTGAGACGGATGGGGCGATATTAGTGATTAGAAGACGAATACAGCAAATCCGTCACCGCTGAAGCGCGTTTTCAGACTCACTTTCGACCCAATGTGAATAGCGAAGGTCACCGTGCACGAAAAATGCACAAGGAAAGCGGTTATAGATGGCTTAAACAGACCAATGACTCAGAAAAATGGGACCTATTCCAACCCGGTACCAGCAACTGATGTTTGATTGAATACTCATCAAGTCAGTCATGATTGGCCGATGGCCGAAGCGGTTAGGCGTCGGTCTTGTGAACCAAAGGTCACCGGTTCGAGCATTCGCAGATGCGGGCGACATCACAGTCTGAGGACGAGTTGTAGTCGTCATGTGGTAGCCCAAAGTCGGTGCGGGGTATCAGCGCAGTGCTTATGTCTTCCTTAGTTATAATGGGTGCATATGATTGGCAGAAATAAATCAGCAAAGAAGTGGACTGGTAGAGAAGGGGAATACAGTGAGGTCGACTGATGTGGACTGTGTGACCAACAGAGGAGGGAGCCATAGTACGAAAAACAAATTCAGCAAAACCTCTTTATCTCCCCACCATGATGAGATATACTCGATGGGGCGTCGTGTTGACACAAGAGCGGGAACCCTCCTGTCTTGAAACGCGAACAGTTCAGAAAAAACAGAGCTTACCTCAGCTGCTGATAAAAGTCTAGTCTCACATTGCAGATAAAGGATAGCAATAAAGGTGATATTTTGCCGGTAATGATAATAAAACCTGATCTGTGTGCAAGAAAACATACACAAAAGTGGAATCAACTGGATTCGTAGTATTGATACGCCTGCGTTGCTGAACCGTCATCATCATCAGCAGCATCAACATCAGCATCATTATTATTGTTATTATTATTATTAACAGCAGTAGATCAGCCATTTGAACTGATGCTTTGTTGCCGTATAATGATGGTAACGTACTGAACGAAGAATAATAACAGGGAGAGAGGAGGTACACAGCGTAAAATCTTAATGCCCTAACCAAACACTTAGAGTCAAGGCACCTACCCCTTGTCAACAACATACCGTCGCAAACGGCTGGCTATCATGCAAAGATAAGGTGGCATCCACGGGATAGGTTTGTTGCGGCTTTCACTGCCCCACCTACCTGAACAACAACGAACGAGAATATATGGAGATACGATGAAACAATGGATAGTTCAAGGAGGAAGTTGATGTATCACTGCTATTTGAACGAATCAAAAACCACTTCCTTATTGCTACACGCACTGAACGGAGTTCAGAATAGCTACGTCCGAGTGAATCACAACCGCAGAAAAAACCATGTATAAGACTACAATTTAACAGAGTAAGTTCACACTTGTGCGGCAAAGGCGACAGAGCTTGCGCACAGTCAAAGGTGGCACAATCTCGAACGAACAGAGTAGGGGACGTGCTCGGCTAAACGAGGGAGTACATAGAGTCCTGCCCTCGCGCCAGTGTACCCCTGCGCCGGGAGACAAAACTTTGCCAGAAAAGTGTGAGAATTATATACTGAGCATAGAGGGAACGGCTCAGCGCACAAAGAATCAACGAAAGGAACTCACTTTATTGTGCATTAGATCAGTCACCAATTGAATCAATGTTGCAAAATAAGCTGGTTTCAAGTAAGGAGGCAAATGGTGAAGCGGAGAGAACAACATTTTCAGTGTCATGCCCAACGGATTGAGAGCCGTAGACAAAACATGCTCTGCGTTTTTCGGCATCGTACAAAGACGGTTAACCAAGTAATCAGGAAGCCAATCGCCTTCACGCAAATGAGCACATATGGGGTGCCCAAGGTCGTGTTTATCGCGAATATCTTCCATTAGGGCGGTGATGCTCTGAAATGGGACGAACAAGACGTCATACGTTAGTATGATTTCATTCACACCGACTATGAAGAAATGGGATATCAAAAATGTTATAATTGAGGGGACGCCTCTTGATATGATTGCGTAATTGCCTGAGAAGATTGTCGCTGACACGGTTGGAGCACACCTACGATAACGGCTTGTAACGTTAGCCAATCCAACGGAGTTGCGCTGACCTGATGACGTTAGTTTAGCCGGTGCGACGGAAATTGAGCGAGCGTGTGAACGATCCTAGCCGCACGTGTTCGGATAGACGCTGAGCCCTCGGAACGGACGCACACGAGAGGGGGGTTGCGATAGACGCGTTAATGACTTAGACGCGAAGGCTGGTCAGCTAACGACGCACACAAAATCACGTGACCCGACCGACTCCCAAGGAAGGCGAAGAGAAAAGGAAGACAAGCGGTCCTCTGAAGGCTCTTTTACGACCAACAAAAGGCGAATCACAGCCAATGCTATGGGTTATTAAGTTAGGGAAAACAGTCACCACGAAGAGGTGGTAGCTTGCAAAAGACCATTGTCAAAAGGTGCGCAGTTGGGCCGCGTCTGAGAGTGGCTGATCACTGCTACGTTGTGGGGAGGAACTGGACCCCGCTTCCCACAGACATTCTGCCGGGGTTTCTGGCGCGTTTTTGCGGGGATTTTTGACGGGCCCGCAACAAACAATCGCAAGGGATGAAGCGGAAAAGAATCCTAAAGCAATAAACAGTATGAAGGAAATGGAAACACGGTTTTGTCGAGGGTGGTCAATCCAGCAATGGGCCGGGGCTGTTTCTAGTTGCACCTGATACCAATTTTCGTGGTGCAAAAGAATGCATTAGCCTACTCAATCGATCAGACTGGTGTCTGCTGTCTTCTTGGGTGGGGCCTCTGGATGATCCCCACCGATGTTTGGAGATCCTATCAAACATGGCACAGTCACACAGTCGGTGGCGCTTCTACATTCGGTTTGTTGCATCTGATTGTTAATGTCCTTTCCTTTTTGATTCGTCTAACGCACCTTCTTCTTGCTTTCATTTTCTATATTTTATTAGCACCCAAGTACCGGTATATAATGTTATTCTTACGAGGTGGATCGTGGCAACTGGATCCATTGTATTTCGGGGCACAGAGGATAGTTGTTCAACTGAACTGGGCTGCACTCGGTATGTAAGCTGGTAAGAATGACAGAGGCACAAATACCTAGTTTTGAGAACAAATTAAAACATGAACATATATTCTGATTAAGGCGAAAATGGATAATTTAATGTGTTCTCATCGTCCACTACATCGTACGGTTGGTGGGATGGTTCGTATACGCATAGAGTATACGGAAAAGTAAGAAAGGTCATATCGGTCAACGATCATTTGACAGCAGCCACCATTCCATGGAGAAGAACGCAATCACAAACCAACGAAAGTAAAGCAGACCCGGGCAAAAATTCCATCTTTCGGAAACAGGTGCCGAAAGTCAAAGAATCTTGTAAAATGAAGCACACAAGTGACGCTTAGCTTGTATTTAATCTGAAAGATTCTCCACGATTCCGATACCTGGAATTACCGCGAATGTACAGCTGTGCATAATCAGCGGGCAACTTGATATTAATTATGACGGAGTTCCGAGAACCCTGCTTTGGAGTCAGCGTAGGCAGGCCGCACTTTTGGACGACCTACTTGCTGAAGAAAGTGTGATAACGATTGAGTGCATTAGTAGATGTGACTGGATGGGCTAAGCATGAAAGCACCCAGATCTGACGCAACAGTGCCGTTGTGGCTGCAGAGTCCACATTCCAGCAAACCATCCGGGTGTGAAAGAGCAGACGACGTCATCGATCACTTTGAAGATGCAAGAGAACGAACTTCATTTACATCAGTGAGTGAAATTGGGAGAACCGGTCCTCTTCTAGCAGGAAGAGTGTGAACGCAGGAGAGATGGAATATCAGAGACAACCGTAAGTAGACAGTAAGACTCAAAATTCAGCAGGCGCTGTGAGACTGAGTCTAATGGGTTGTATGTTTTGTGGATTTCGTTCAAGGTGCCGACTTTAAGAGAACAGGCAGTTACCGAGGTGAGTAGCGACAATTGTGCAAAAAATAAACAGGTTCGTGGAGGTAAGCGTAAATGCATTAACACTCAAGATGATCAGTGGATCTACATAGAAATCAAAGCGATGAAAACGAAGCACACAAGTTCTACGGAAACTTCCACTGACCTCAAATCCACAATAACATAGCTTCCCGTATCCAGGTATATGGTATGCTCCTCCAGGAGGGTCATCTGATCGCTCTTCGGCCTCACAACGGAAGAGAATGCGGTTCAAATCGAGTAAGTTGACCTCATCGGCTAATACACGGACAGTGTTATCTTGAATCAATGAAGGCCTCCTGGCAGGCAAGTGTGGCGTATACGCATTGTCTCCATGACCGATTTTGATGTTGAGGTACTGTTTGTGTAACGTGCAGCCGAACTAACAATGGGGGAAGGCGTAAAATGTGATACGGAGGTTAGTTGCTACTAACAGTGGGGAGGATTAAGCAGAGAAACAGAATGGAAAACCATCCAGGTTCGTGAAACGAACGTCGCAATTAGTGTAAACTGTAACGATGGCATGTGCAACATAGACGCCATAGTTGGGCGATGCATATTGTCCTATGCTTGAGGTATATACCAGGCAGATACATAGGCCTTGTAAGGGGATATGGCGTTTCAAGCCAGCTCAGTACCACAGCAGAAGCTCGGGCAACCCAGAGTGTAGCCTATTGGCCGGAACCACGCAACGGAAGTGTTTTTGGATTGCAGCCAAAAAAACGAGAGCGTTTAACCATCACTTGGTGAGTTTTGGTAGCGCGAAATCTTTGAACCTTTGTAACCAGACGCATTTTGACTGTTAATAAGGCTGGATCATTCAAAACTCAATAGAAAGTTCCGCCGGGGCTTCGTTAGTTGCTTTGGGAACTGGCTGTTAAGAGTTCGAGCTAGTTGTAAGGGCTATATCTATGCGGACAGTGGAAACACAGCAGGAGCGATGTGAATGTGGGGGGCACAGAAGCTACTCGTCGGACAACATAACTTCAACTATTATTGGTTCCAGTAGTCGGTTACTCGTGGTTACGGAAGCAAAAGTCGCATTATATAGGGTTAGGTTCAAATGATGGTTTCAATATTGAGCGGGTGATGGCACAGCCGAAACTACGTTTGGTACACACTGATTGCGAGTTTACATCAGGGATGCATAACTTGAAGGAGCGTGTGTTGGATCGGAACTAATCGTGACCACAATCCGGATACCCCTCGATTCCATCGATTCCGTTTAAGGTGTGCGAAGGAGAATTGCGGGTGGCGCAGTGCAAAGCACCAAATGTCCTACAACAACAATTGTTCTGCAGCTCTGTGCAGTGTTGGTGACAGAACAGGGTGAAAGAATACGTCGAAAACCATTTTCTTGGTGTCCGGAAAATGATGTAGAACAGCAGGCTGGGACAACAGCGCATAAAACTGGGTGCACAACTAGATTGGTTCGATGAATCGTGAAAAACTGGGCTGACAAACGGTGGGTTGGTTAACCAAAAAACTGCTTTAAATAAAGAAAACTACAAAACTCGCAAACAGCAGTCCAGAGGAGATTATCCTATACATGGCCGAAGTGACAAATATTAAATGTGACAGACACACCAAAGGATCACAAATAGCATGTCGATGAGATCGAGAAGGATGGAGAAATAAGGCCACCGATAGCAAGAAATACCTGGGGTTTTTAATGGGGAATGAAGATGAACCCGCCGTGGCTTAAACAAGGTTTTCCACACGGTTGCTGAAGCTAACAGTTACGTTCGGTTTCTGAATGATTGTATGAATACTCGTGAGTACCCAACCGCATTTTGGAAATACCTTCGTCGAAACCGTATTTCGCTCAACTCTAAAACTCTCCGTCGTTACGCCCTAAACCAACGCGATACTAATTGTGGTAAAATTCCCGAACTTCAACGAAACATCGCTCAGAGACAATCCAGTGTTGATGCGCTCACTGTAGAGGAACATCAGCAGTTTGTGGATTATGTTCAACAGATCGTAGACAGTAAAGTGCAGAAGAAACGTGGTGCGTTGGCACGATCACTTAGCCTGTGGCTTCATGGGGCTATGTTCCCGAACCATCCAGAAAAGTATGTTCACAATTATCCGAAATTGGTGCTTTCGCCTGAACTACTTGGAATCTTGTCACTCGGTTCGAAATTCTATTATCCTAAAAGTAACGAACTTCAGCTAGATACCAAAACCCAATTTGAAAACCCGTTAGCACAAATGAAAGATTTAATCGCGCTAGCAACTGACGCTCTAGAATGTTTCAATTCCTCGTTGGTCAATTGCTGATACCAATATCGAAACTACCAGGTGAATCAACGCGGCCTGATTACTCGTAAACATTTGAACTCCTTGAGAGGGTTTTAAAGCAACAAAGATATGGCCATCTAAAAGCCAGATAAGGGAAGTGGTATAGTCCTAATGAATAGAAGTGATTACATCTCGAAACTAAACCAGATTGTCCGAGACGAAACGAAGTTTTGTGTAAAGGTAGGTGAGAAGGATCAAACAGCTCAAACGGAACAAAACCTGACGTATTGCCTGAAAGATCTATGCACGCGGTTTTATATCTAGTAGTCTGTTTGAAAGTCTGAGGCCAGTTGGAACATCTATCGCGAGAATGTATGGACTGCCAAAAGTTCACAAAGAAGGTGTACCTCTACGCGCAATATTGTCCATGATAAACTCCGCATGTCATCCAACAGCCCAGTGGTTGGCAGAATTACTGGAGCCAATAAGAAAACGAATTGCCCAACGTAGTGTTCGGGATAGTTTTACATTCTCAGAGCACATTAGAGATGGGAATCTGAAGGAGAAGAAGATTTTCTCACTTGATGTAGCTTCTTTATTCACGAATGTCCCGCTACTAGAGACAAGAGAATATCTATGCAACTATGTGCACGAGAACAGCACTTATTTAACTATACCCTATTGGAGCCTGAAAGAAAAGAGATGCACCTACAACGTTCAGTTTATTTTTGACGGCATATATTATCGGCAGAATGATGGGGTCGCAATGGGATCCCCACTCGGACCAGTGCTGGCAGATATTTTTCTTGCCAAACTAAAAACTGAATCATTGAGGCCATTAGTATCGTTATATGGATGACATCTTTTGTGTGACCCATAAACATATCTCTATAGAGGAAATATTGGCAGAGTTTAATGGTGCGCACCCAGCGATTAAGTTCACCTACGAACTTGAACAAGATGGTCAACTCTCATTTCTGGATGTACACCTTAGTTGACGAACTGACGGTTCCATAGTAAGGAAGACCAACAGAAAGAAGACGTGGACCGGTCAGTATACAAACTTCAGTAGTTTTGTGCCGCTTAAATACAAGCGTAAGTTAGTACATTGTCTCATCTCAAGGGCGAGAATGATATGCTCAGAGGACGCTCTGAAGGATGAGATGAAATCCACCCAGAACACGTTGCGTGGAAATGGTTATGAAGAAAGATTCATTCAGCGCAACATGCAGCCCAAAATAACACCGGTCGTTAAGGACGTAGTCGCGAAAAAGGCCCTCTTCATCCGCCTTGATTTTAAAAGTGATACAGTTAGTGACCTTTTAAGGAGAAAACTGACGCAATCGATAAGGAACACCTTTCCGGCTGCGGAATTACGAGGCATTTTCGCTACGAACCAGCTAATTCCTGTGTGCAACAATGAAAGACACTCGAAGCTGACCTCTTTTTACGTTGTCTATCGAGTTGAGTGCACTTGTGGTGCAACATACACTGGTCGGACGGCCCGTCAACTCTCATGTCGCATTGAGGAACATAGGCTTAAATGGTTGTTGGACGGATGCACCGGAGTGCTTACAAGCGGTGTTTTGTCTCATCTGTTCGAATCAGGTCATCAGATTAATCTCCCGAATGCCTTTACTGTGATTTATCAGGTTCCAATGAGCAAATCGAAAGGTACGCGGTTAAGGATGCTCGCCACTGCAGAGGCCATTGCGATCCGCATATTCCAACACCCGCTGTGCTCGCAGAAAAAGTTTGTTCAATCTCTATACCTGCCCTGGCCGAACAGCCTAGCCGTCACCCTGACATTGGCTCAGACATTGTGATTAAGTAAACCTCAATGGATCTGTGTGAATGAGACAGCGGCGAACTATTCGCTGTCTAACCATTGACGAAGTCAGTTCAATCCAATCCATCCTCATGTAGTTTAACTTTATATGATTGTACCGGCCCGCAGATGAATCATTGAAAACAATTGTTTGCCTCAGACTGGTGTTCTTGAAGGTGATAATCGGTGGAATTGGATAATGCGGAACCCCATGTGCATTGGTTTAAGCGTGCAAAAGCCCACGCATAAGGCAAATATGTGCCTAAATGTAGGCGATACAACTAAATAGAAAGACGTCACATCATCCCGTTTGTACATGATCAATCACCAATTGAGTTCAACTGAGCCCCAAGGAACATGGTCCAGAGCAACTCCACATGGCTGCAATGAATATGTTAACGGGGACTATAGCCGGGAAGTCAGAATATATAATGACTATAGCCACACACAGATGACAAGAGGATAAACGAAGAGCCACATGATCATTAGAAGCCGATTCGCATAGTTAGCAATGCGCATGTTTTCATCGTCAGAATGTGAATTTAGGGCATGGATTTTCCGTTTTTCGAAGTATACTCTCTAAGTAAGATCCATAATCCACGAAAAGTTCCGATAACGAAGTAAACCATAGCGAGCAAACTGCATAAGGAGGAGAATTAACGAGCATGCCTAACTCCAGGTGTTGGGTAAAGTGTGAGTGGCAAGTGAGGAGAATTTAATTGCTAACACTGTAAGAATGAGGGGGGGGGAGGCGACAGAGTCAGTAGTGTTCCACCAGTCGGTATTTCTTCTTATATAATCATTGATGCGAAAACACCTTTAACCGAGGTTTAGAATGTGGGCAACGGCTTAACGCGCTAAATTTGCTTCAGGTTACCGAGAACGCTTTATCTCTGTTTTAATGAACGATTTCTGAAATTTTGTATGGAAAGGATACATTTCGGTTTTCAGCCGTAATTTCCATATGTTGACTGTGGGAGCCCGGTATGTATGCTTATCAAATGGTTTGTAGCCATATACACCTACAGGTTGACAGCAGTTTATTCGAAAAGCACGGAAAGAAGACAGAGGCTGGTAGATGCATGCATTTCGTATTGTCTCCTCAGTACCATTAACAATAACCGATAAGCACAGATATAGCTAACAGTGGGTGCAACCAGACAAGCTTAAGGTGCAAAACGAATGACGGAAGTTCACACATACGTCCAAGGTAGTTTATTCATCAAAAACGACCGCTTTTACCATTTTCATCCATCACCAGGGAGCAATTATTTGCGCTCATACAACAAATTTAGATGCATACAGAACAATTTTATGTGCACAAAGTCCGTAAAGTATCATGAGATGAATTTTTATTGCGTTAAGGGAATTACGTTAAAGGAATTATCATTTTATTCTCTATTATTTGAATCTGAATTTCTGCATTACAGACTGGTGGAACGCTGTGGACAGAGTTCTCAAGGTAGCTGATGAGCAAGCAAAATTGGAAAGACCCACCTCATTACTGAGCATTGTGTGTATACCACCCAATGCATTCTCGTGCTGTTCCGACAATCTGACGGAAATAACTACCACCGCTCCTGGTGGGAAACTATGAAAGTGCACACGATCGGAGATATCACCAAGTTCAGTAGTGATGTGTTCCACACGGAACATACGACTTTCAGAGAAGTCTACGTTTTGCAAAAATGGAAATTGCACATTTTGTAGGCCATTGATGAACTGAGTAGAAAGGAAAAATAATAGAATACTGATCAACATTGTGGACAATAAGCGAGACGAGACCGGAGAAATAAAAAGGTGTCAAGCAAAAAGCGGGGTGTTAAATCGCACTACAAGTAACCTCAGTATTGCCGCGCTAGCCTAAACGAAGGGTGAAGCGGTCAACACGGCAGTCTAGTTAGCTTTTGGTGCAGGCGTGATCAAAAATGAGCCACAAGACTGGAGCAAAAACGACACAACTTGCTTAATTACAATGAAGCAAAAATGGTGACGAAAATCACGATGATGAAGGGGACGGCCGGGGGAATGAAGCGCAGAGTTTGCAACGAGATACTACAAGTACCTGGGGAAGGCGATAACTTGAGAATACAATAGAGAACACGCAAGAAAAAGCACGAGCAACGAAAGCAAACAGATAGTTGTGAACGGGAAGGTTTACGCAAACTAAGCGATTACGTTATCGATTATATATACCCGACGTCTCAGTTTGGTGCAACCATTATTGCCAAGTACTATTCATCGTCACAGACAATCACTGGTCACAGTACCATGCTGGGTTTAGTTTGTAAGTAGTACTGCTCAATTAAAATCAGACTCCAGCGTCAGAATACACTTTTTTAAATCATGCGCAAAACGAATGCTATACAATAATTCTTAGAATGTAACTAATAGCCCGCTTAATGATGTTTCTCTCTCATTTTTGAGATGCGTACATATCTTGTTTTCCGTGACTTGGTTGTAATAAACAAATATCTACACATATGTCCTGGTTTATGTAGAAATATTACCGCTAATATCTTGTACGGTCGTAACCGTCCATTCATCACAAACAGAACTTTTAGCTTTCCTACTGCTGCAGGAACACAGGAAGTTGGAAACGTTGTTTATCCAAATATACTGAGCTATTTGACGAATTGCCTCGTGCTCAGATTGATGGTGCAGCACACACAATGCTTCTACACTGCAGTTGGGCTACACCGACTTACACTTAAACTAGGTCTTAATCTGGATAAAAGGTAGACCACTTTATTTAATTTGTTCACTTCAGTCGTTCCGATGCATATTCCGCGTCAATTTGTGTGTGTTTATCTTCCATCAAATTGTGTCATTGGCAATCACATTTGAAACCAAGCTCTGTCCGCCTAAAAGGATGAAGTCTTTCGTAAGCAGCAGGACACATAAATGCATGGGATTAAGCGACAAGGCATGGCACACCTACATAGCCTCCCCGAACCACCATACCTAGGATGTCTACACAATACAAAAAAACCACTGTGTCAAACTCGTCCGGGAGGATAAACTGAAGAACCAACAACGTCTAATGGAAAAGTTTTGCTCCAATCCCAAACTGCCATACAGACACGTAAACAATTTGCGCCGTGTTAAGCGCGGTATTCCTGCTCTGCACACAGCATGCGGGTTAGCCCAAACCGCACAAGAGGCAGCCAACGTCCTTGGACAACAATTTGGCCGTACCTTCCAAAGCGTTCAACCATCAAACATATTGCCTAAGCAGATAACGCCGCCATCAGGGCTTAATCACACATCGTTCACCTCCGCAGCTGTCCTGAAGAGGCTGATGTCTCTGCGAGAGTTCAGCTCCCCGGGTGCGGATGGCATTCGCCCGAAGACGTTGAAAGTTGCTGCCATGAGTTTGGCAAAAGCACTAGCAATTTTCTTTCAACGATGTCTGAACGAGATGCACGTCCCCACGATGTGGAAGCACGGAATCATCACGCCTATCTACAAAAGTGGTAGTCGTGTTGAACCAGCAAATTATCGCCCGATAACACAACTTCCTGTGATCTCCAAGAGTATGGAGTCCACTGTAGCTGAGGCTTTGATAAAGTACCTGAAGAACAACAAAATTCTCGTTCCGGAGCAGCACGGATTTCGCCGAAATCAATCGTGTACCACTAATCTGTCTATTGCTCGTGCAAACTGGACGGAATCTGTGGACGCTGGGGTAGGAGTCGACGCGGCCTACTTGGATTTCTCAAAGACATTCGACCGTATAGACCATCGCGTTCTCCTCCACAAACTCCAGAAATAAGGAATCGGCGATTCTGTTCTGGGCTAAATAGGTGACTTTCTTGTTCAACATCACCTGAATGTGAGGGTTCGAAGCAACCTGCCGGAATCCATCGAAGTTCAGTGCGGCGTACCTCAAGGCTCGGTACTTGGACCCCACCTGTTCCTGGTTTTCATAAATGATCTCGCGAGTGTACTATCTTCTAACTGTTTGCTATTCGCTGATGGCCTAAAGGTATGGCGTACTATAGGTGCAGTGGAGGATCACACAGTGTTACAGGAGGACCTAGACAAAGCGTACACATGGTCCATCGAGAACATGCTGCATTTCAACGTCACCAAGTGCAAAGTTCTCAGCATATATATATATATATATATATATATATATATATATATTTGCAACAGTCTATGAATAGACAATGAGCCATTGAAAACCATGGAACCCAAAGCAAGGTACAGAAATAGTAAAAGAAAACACAACACAACACATCAAAGTCAATGGTTTCGTCAGAGGGCGAGATACTACCCGGCTGCCCAAGCCGAAGTAGGGTGTTGATTAAGGGGACACCACCCCGAGCCTTTCGCTGAATAACCTGCCCGCAAGGCAACGGAGCGAATTCAGGGAATCGCGTCCATTGGGAGCCAGTGACTGAGTGCTCAGTTCATACGTTTTTCGTTTGTTCCTTTATCAAACGGGGGCCCAACGCTCCCCAAAATTACAGCATAAACTTGCTGGGATACAATGCTTCGCCAGGATGAAGCAAGGGGCAGTGACTTTATTTAGTGACGAGTCACGTCCGCCACGTCACAGTGTTGTTAAACGGACATATGTGGCTTACTATACGGAGAACGCTTGTCAGGCGAAAACCCACCACGTCCTGGAACACTGCCGCCGAACCATTTGCTGGAACGGGAAAATCCAGAACCACCAGCTGGCGCTACGAGGAGGTCGTTCGGCAAGCTCAGCATACGGCACAAGAGTATGCACAACTACCGCCTAGGACCACAAATTCTACAGCGACCTTCTCACGAGTGCGATCTCGGCGTGATAGTTCAAGACGACCTCGGTGGTTCGAGGCAGACTGAAAAGGCAGCTAAGAAAGCGAACCAGTACCTCGGCCTTCTTCGCAAAGCTTTCGGGAAGTTTGACCCTTCGATCTTTCCAAAAGTGCTTAGTGCGTACGTGAGGCCGCACGCGGAATACGCTATTCAAGCGTGGCAACCCTGGCTCAAGCATCATCTCACCGCGCTCGATACTGCACAACGTAGGGCAACGAAGAGCGTCAGAGGTTTGACCAGCCTCCCTTACCCACTCAGGCTGAAGACTCAATATATACAGTGGACGTTATTGGCGTCTAAGGGGCGATCTCATAATGGTGTACCTAATCCTGAGAGACCCCAACCACCCATGCCATTCCCTTCTAATACTCAGTCAAAACACCTCGCTAAGAGGTCACCAGTTTAAGTTAGTCACGCAGTACAGCCGCCTGGAATGTCGGCGAAACTATTTCTCCCTTCGAGTGGCACAGCCTTGGAACGCCCTCCCGGAACATGTAATTAATGCACCCACACTATCCCTTTCAAAAAACGCCTTGACGATATTCTGTCACATTTACACTACGTGCTATAGCCCATGACCAACAGATGCTGGCACTAATGCACAACAGACAGTGGATAGTGCCATAACCCTACTCGAGAATGAGTCACTCCAAACCCCTTGCACGAAATTTGATAAACGCTACTACCATAGAAACTGGGTTTCTGTATCCCTTCGACCCAAGATTGTTGCACACGAGTAAGCTTTGTCCTTGCTATTTTTTATTGCTTTTTCTCGCCTATGACGTGATCAATAACCACTCCTCTTATTGCTTTGTGTGCGTACATTCTCAGTTCAAACTCGCTTTATACGACAGTGCCGTTAAATTTGTAATCGCCCGAACTGACGACTCCATTATCCCTCGATCTATCTATTCTCACTCTAAACACCCTACGGGACATGTCAAGCACCTGCTTTTTCCCCGTTATAAATCATTGTTCATTGTACGGTGTACCCCGGTGTAGATGCGCTTAATGTGAATGTTGACAAGGTGCCTAACTTCCAAACATTCTCCACCTCGATCATTGGCTCCAGGAGACTGCTACTCCTCGCATGGGGATGTGGTGCAAGGTCATCATGCCGTACTTAGTCGTTCCATGCATCCAGTGTGGAGTGGACTACGTCCCAGCCACCGCTTTGTGTAAGTCTGGTACGCATGATTCCAGGCATAGATAGACAGGAGTGCTGCTGCTGTGTAGACTGGAATTATGTGGACCGGCTCCGCTGAAGAAAAGTGGCTCCCATCCTCATGTCTCCCGGTTTTATTCCTTCGGGTATACACTGGATATTTGGTGTATGAATGGAGCTGTGGGTGGTGCAACGCCAGCCACCAATGATCAGTGAGTAGGCGCAGGCATCCTGTGGTTGGCCACAGTGACAGACAAATCCGAAAAGCCGATGCCGCCAACCATTGCAAACTACATTTCCAATTCTATTTTACAGTAAATATGAGATGCTTTAAAATTATCTATGACGTCTCCGTTCATTCTCTGCTAACTTTAAAGTAACTGTCTCGCTCGCACTCTATAGTGATAGAGTAATGCCATTTTAAGGATGCGCGTTAGGACACGCGTTTCAGTGGACTGAAGTGGAACCGTTCTGATAAGGTCACGCAATATCATCACAGCCAACATTAGGCTAATGAATTCACACAGGCGCGAGCACGCACCACTAAGCGAGTGATTCGTAAAGCCCTGACAAATGGAGGTAGACATTCAGATGAGTGTCCGCTGATGCGCTTAGAACAGTTATTCAAATAATCACGTTCAAAGGAGACGAGCATAGCTCGTGACATCGTAGAGCACTGTTTCGCGAGTCTCAAAAAAGCAAGCAAAGATCATTCCCAAAGTTGGCGCAACTCAGTTTAGGTGAA